CCTTGTCCAGCAGGCCAAGGCAAAGAGGAAGTCACAAAAGCAGCAAAATCAGGGAGCTGGACAGGGGACAGGGGATTTGTTTTAAGTATGGAAGGGATTGTTACTCTCGAATTGGCCTCCTCAGCCACACCAGACGCTGTTCCAAGTCCTCCATACAGAGCACGTGACCATAGTCTTTCGAGACTGAAGGATGCCTAAGTGCAGTTACAGACGCTTAGTTGTTCTTATTGGATCACATGGAAACTCATTCAGTTTAGCTTGTTAACCCACTTTCATCTGTGACAAAAGATGATGTAAGCTTTTTTGAAGAAAAAATAACTGTGAACATGAGGTCTTAAGGTCTCTTCTGAGAATCATCTTCCCCTTTAGAAGAATACAAAAGAATGCCCCAGAGTTCATGTTTTAATCATATTGTAATTACGTTTGTTGTAAGCCGCCTAGAGTGGTCTTAAGTGGCTAGATAGGCGGGATATAAATAAAACAAATAAATAAATAAAATAAAAATAAATAAAATAAAATAAATGATGAGTGTTACTATCACAGCCACTTCATAAAATCAATCTACAGATTGAAAGAATGCAGATGACAAGAAGTTGTAACTACCAGCCCACAAAAAGCAGTTTGTTGATACTGGCACATCTTTATTGCTGTATCAGGTTTGGTGGATGAGGGCTTCCCAACCACACTTGTAAAATAAAATAAATGATGAGTGTTACTATCACAGCCACTTCATAAAATCAATCTACAGATTGAAAGAATGCAGATGACAAGAAGTTGTAACTACCAGCCCACAAAAAGCAGTTTGTTGATACTGGCACATCTTTATTGCTGTATCAGGTTTGGTGGATGAGGGCTTCCCAACCACACTTGTTTAGGGTTCTGATGTGGGTACAGAAACCAAATTACAACTGAACTGACACAACCAGCCCAATTAGGAAACATTCACAACACACTTTGGAACATCTGTGATAAAAAATATACATTCCAAAGAATGTACATTCCAAAGAATGGACTTGGCTGCCGGAGCTTGACTGTAGATTCACTGCTGTGCAGTGCATGATGGTCCCTTTGACCAGCTGGCTACAATGCAGCCATTTGTGCTACCTCCTGAAGGATGAGTGCTACACTGTAGGCAGCTACTATGATTTTGTGGCAAGTGGTTCAGTTCACAAAAGTCACTCTTTGTGCAGTATTTGATGAAGGTGAAGATAAAGTGGCTTCTTGGTCAACAACTGAAGTTTCTTCCTCTTAAAGTCAGTGGGTTTTTTGTACCTGTAACCGCACAGAAAGGTATCTGTTAGAATTGAGTGTAACACTATTTGGAAGATTGCAGCAAACACACATTACGATCAAGCTGTCTTAGTATGCTGGAGAAACAGGCCTTTACTGAACTGGGACCGATGACATAACCACCTTTGTCCTACTCTGCCCATCAAGAACAATCACTGCACCCAATTACATTAATATTCACAGGAAGAAGCATGCTGTGTATGTAGAAGATTACACAAATAGTCTCAAGGACACTGGCCCTCAAAATTCCACTGAGAATGAAGTCACAGTTACTTCTGAGTAATACCACTTTAAACTGTGCTGTATGTTGATATCAATGGATATTAAAGTTATTTTCATTTTGTTAAAATGGGCTCAGGGAAGCTGTTGTCATGGGAACTAAACACAAATGGTTAAAAGCCACTTTAGCCACACAGGTACAAAGCTTAAATCCTATTTACATTTTACATTCAACGAAATCAAGTAATTTCCAAAAATCATTCATACAGGAGTGTTATTTGGGTGACAGTACTAAGTACTGTGCAAATTAGAATATTTATCTCAATCAATATGCATAAAGCAAAATGTCAGCAGAGAGCGAGTTATATTCCTCTGTTTTCAGAGAAGACTATTCAGCAACTTCTGTTAGTCTGGCAGCCCCTGGGAAGCCTCTCCCAATCAACGTAGCACTGAGGTCCTGCCACACAGAAGTCATGTTTATGATGTACAATCAGAATGCACCACATATGAGCAAGGTCACTCACAGTTCTATAACAATTGGTCCAGGCTTAATTTCATCCATCTCCATGAAAGCAAAGCACTTGGTGCTGGTGAACCTTTTTTTAGGCTTATAGTGTTTAAATTCAAAGAAAATAGCTGCTCCTGAAAAAGGAGAGAAAGCATCAATCTAAGCAATACTGTGTATGTTAGAACATCAGGTAACTTTATTACAGGTTTGGTATGAAGCTGGCTGCCATCAGTGGCTGCACTTTCTGCTATATGTAAGAAAGCAAAGTGTGCTGCTTATATGCCACCCTATAGTGCTTAAAGCTCTTTTTGGGAAGTTTACAATTTAACTATACAAGTGATACATTGCCCCCTCCCCCAATGAGCTGAGTACTCAAATTATCAACCTCAGAAGCAAGCTACCTGAGCCTAGGATTGAATTCCATACCCTGCCCTACCTATGGAGGAAAGATCCCATTTGCATGAATGGGAATTTTTTTCCCTAAATCTAACTGACACACAGATGCAAATGGACCAGTGGAGGGAAGAGTTTTTCCAGCACAACACTGCCCCCTCCCCCCCAACAAATTACGTGGGGGAGGTGAGGAAAGACAATGCTACTGTGGTTGTGGCACCAGAGATCAACCCCTGGAAGGCTGCCTATCAGCAAACACTGCCTTCAGGCTGGAAACGGTTCCCTACTCTGGCCCAACGTTCAGCTTTGACAATGCTAGTCGCACTTCAGTGTAATCTTTGGCTGTAGGTCACAAACCTTTTGTTAATTTTTCAATATGTTTCTGAATCTCAATGTCCACATTAAAATGAACGTATGTGTCCTCCTTCCTTGAAGCAACTGGGGTATCTTGGACAGGGGTCAGGTCTATCCCATTCAGGTCTGTTAAGGAAAAGAAGAATATTGGTGTTCTCCGCAGAAAAGTACTGCAGTTTTGGAATACTTAAGCCACGATCAAGTCATTGTATTTTTAATAATTCAAGCTCTCTAAATGTAAATGGCTACTTAATTACTAATGAAAAGGTTAAAAAAACTCACACAGTACAATTAGTTCATGTAGGCCTCACACAATATGACTTTCTTACATGGATATAACTTCCAAGTAGGATATATATTTATCATAATACAGTGGTGCCTCGCACAACGAGCGCCCCGTAGAATGATGAATTCGCTCTACGGGGACGTTTTTTCGATCGCTAATGCGATTGCAGAGCGACGGCCCCAATGGGCGAAAATCGCAGAGCGAAGGTCGGTAAGCGGTTCGCTTACCAACCTTCGCTTTGTGACCCACCGATCAGCTGTTTCGCGGCTTCAAAATGGCCGCCGGAAGCCCCAAAATGGCCACGCGCAGCGTTTTCGCGCCCTTGTTATGCGAGGGGAGGGCGCGAAAATGGCTGCCGGCCATAGAGGAACATCGCTGTACGGTGAATAAATCAGCCGATTGGAACGCATTAACCTAAGTTTAATGCATTCCAATGGCTTTTTTCTTTCCATACAGCGATGTTTCACACAGCGAGAGTTAATCCGGAACGGATTAACTCTCGCTGTGCGAGGCACCACTGTATACTTATATCACACCATACTGGATAGGTCAGAGATTTAGGTATCTGGCTGTGGAGTCAGAGGTTGGGAGTCTGATTCCTCACTGTGCCTGCCTTATTGTCAGGGGCTGGACTCAGTGATCCATAGGGTCTCTTCCAGGTCTGCAGTTCTAAGATTATTATATGTCCATGCCAGAATAATCAGTCACTTCTATCAAGTCCTCCCACTGCACATAACATCTAGAAAAACATACAAGATGATATATGCCCAACTTAGATGATATATGCCCAGTTTCCAACTTAGAGTGGAGGTCGTATATGTGGACTTTGATGACAGTTACAAATACATTATTTCAAGAAAACCATTTACTTTTTTACTTTTGGGAAAGTTATCCTTCATTAAAAATGTGGAAGTAGGAGCTTTAATGTTGAGGGCATGGAAGATGGTACAAAGCTTCAGACAGAGATGCAGGATACCTCTCAAAAGTAAAAGTTTGAGATAATCCAATTGATTTGTTGGAGGAAAGGGCAAGAAATAAATGCAATGTATGTTAGTATTTTGCATGCTAACTCACACTGATTCAGCAAATCTCTCTATTTTGGAAGAAAAGAGATACATACTTGCTGTATGAATATAAGTTATTGCCAAGCTTGGGATAAATGGCTAAGACCAGATCAAAAGTGCTCAAATGTCAACGGGTTCATGACTGGTCAACCCAAAGAAAGGAGAAATGACTACCTTTCACACTAACAGTGATATAGGGATCGATGCACTGCCCAGCGTCTTTGAGACCAATTTTCTCTATTTTGATAGTAAGCAACGTCATCCCAGGTTCAGATGGCAATCTAGGTAATAAAGTACCTGGCAGGAAAACGGATCAGAATATTAAAATAACAGAAAAAAAGTCCTTCAGTATACTTTTCCCTACTGCTTTTGGTTTTCATTTGCATTCCAAGCCTGAAAGATTCAATCCACTATTGCAGACGATAACCAAGGGAGGACAGAACTTGGCTTACTGAGACACAGAGATTATTTTGGGCCATAAACCCAGCTTCAACTTGACCTACCAGTAAAAAGCAGGTGGCAGAAGTATACCTGAGGAAGATACAGCAGTGCCTCGCACAACGGGTGCCTCACACAACGATGAATTCACACAGCGATGCCTTTTTCTGTTAAATTTGCCACCTCACACAACAATGTTTCCTATGGGGAATTTTCACACAACGATGCCTCTTTTTCGCTCCTGTAAAAGTGTCTTACAATGTTTGGAACCTGTTTTAAATGCTTGCAATGGTTAGCCCACCTCCTGAAACCTATGCAAACTTATTTTGGTGTTGTTCTGACACTTCGTTAATTTGTGGTGATTTTTTGTTTTTCCCCTCATTGAACTCCATGCATTTCAATGAGGAGAAAAACAAAAAATCACCACAAATTAACGAAGTGTCAGAACAACACCAAAATAAGTTTGCTTAGGTTTCAGGAGGTGGGCTAACCATTGCAAGCATTTAAAACAGGTTCCAAACATTGTAAAACACTTTCACAGGAGCGAAAAAGGACTTCGCAAAGCCATTGAAATGCATTGAGTCGGCTTCAATGCATTTCAATTGGGGAACTGGGTTTCACTCAACGATGTTTCCTATGGGGATTTTCGCTCAAGGACGGCAATCCGTTCCAACTGGATTAACCAGTTTTCAATCCATTCCTATGGGAAATGGCGTTTCACAGAACGATGTTTCACACAACGTTGATTTTTTTTTTTGAACCAATTAACACTGTTATGCGAGGCACCACTGTACCTTTTTTCCCACATTTATCATACAGGTAGCCAAGAAACAATGTTCAGCTGCAATCCCAGCACACTTCAATTGCCAGAATTCAGGCGCACTGCATGAGCACACCTGAGCTCTCAAACATACACTGAACTGATACATCCACCATGGCCAGGTAAATATCTGTACATTCAGATACCAAACCACTTTCAAGAAATGCTCTCATGAAAGAGCAGTGATGGAATGGGATGATCAGGGCTTTGGGATCTGACAAGAAGAACACAATTTTCCAGTACAAGATATTTCTTCATAATTTTAATGTGACAAGCAAAAATGAAATACAGTGGTGCCGCGCTAGAGGATGATAATCCGTTCCACTGAAATCACTGTTTAGCGAAATCATTGTCTAGCGAAAAGCATTTCCCCATTGGAATACATTGAAAGCTGTTTAATGCATTCCAATGGGGAAGAATCATTGTTGTCTAGTGAAGATCAGCCATAGGAAAGCCGCTTTGTGAACCGCCAATCAGCTGTTTAAATCGCTGTCTTGCAAAGCTTAGGTCCCGAAAATACCTGTTTTGCGAGCATGGAGGGAGCTGTCAAAATCGTCGTCTAGCAAAAATCGGTTTGCGAAGCAGGGACCAAACATTGTGCAGCGAAATTCCCCCATAGGAATCACTGTTTTGCGAATGACTATAGCGATCGCAAAAAGTCAATGTCTAGTGAAAAAACTGTCATGGGGGTTAACTGTCTCGCAAGGCACCACTGTAAAAAGGTTTTATTCAGGCTAGCTGAATACATTTGTATCTTCATTTTTTTTCTAGGAGAGGCCACTTCTCCCTAAAACAACCAAGAGAAATTCTAGTGGTCAAATAAAAGACAGTACAAGGGTAGTTGAGTAATGTTAAAAACCAATTCAAATTATTTTTAAAACAACACATTTACAGTATTACCTATTATTATTTTAGGTTTGGTTTCAATTTCTGTTGCTATGTACTGTCAAGTAGGAACCAAATTAATAGTGACTATTAATAGGTAAAGCAAGTAAGATATTTAAGGGGTGTTTTTATCAGTTCTACATGCCCTGTGGGTTTCCATGGCTGAGCAGGGATGTGACCGGAGGCCTCTGGAGTCTTAATTCATCACTCTATCCATTACACCTCACTGGGTATCCTTCCATTTACACAGAGCCTTTGAAATACTAGAAATGTGATGTATCTTGTTCAGAGGAAATATCTTCCAAGTTGAAGAAGCTTTATTTAAATACTAAAGCATTAATACTGAATACAGTAATCCCATTTGAAAATTCATACTGGTTTTAATTTAACAGTTCTGTTTTGAGTAGTTCTGTTTTTTTTAAGAATCTGTAGCACCAATCCACAGAAATGCTCTTGGTACCACTGCCCAATTTTCAGCAATCTGCTCTTGCCACAACACACTCCATTCAGGACAGTCCATCAGGAGAGGCTTTTTGGAGAGCCTAGCCTGAGCCTAGTCAGTGCTGCAAATTTAGGAGCAGAATAAATATTACAATTCACCATAGGTTTCTTAAGATGTTTAACAACCAAATATTCTAATCTAAGCAATGCATACTCAGCTGAGAAGAGGACAAACAGATAGCTATGCTGTGTCATAATGAAATAAACAGGACAATTCTTCATGCATAAATGCTAAAGGTTCTATATCCTGAAAACAAATTTTGGAGATGCAGATATGCAACACATGCAGAACTTTACACAGCATTAAAGCATAACACAAAATTGCTGGGTTGGAACACTCCTGGACAGGCTGCTTATAAAGGGATGTTCTATAACACAAGTCACCTGAAAGACTATTCCACCGAAAGACAAATCTAGCATCTTTTTTTTAAAAAATGGACACAAATGCTTTGACATGAGGTTTCTTAAGGTTTTAATGCATCAAATGATCAATATTCCTTATATTGTAGCCAGGAAATGGAAATAACCAGCTGTAGAACCCAGGTGCTTATAGCAGCCGTTCAGCAGCAACCAAGAGGAAAGAACATGAAGCTTCTGAGTTCTCAAATCTTTTAGGACAGAAGCTAAGAAAGTGCCAATCTACTTCCCTATCACTCTCAGGCTTTCCAATATTCTGTTACCCTTTGTTCTAATCAGTAAGGAAAAACCAGTACCCAATGGCCCAAATCCTCTTGCCTGGTTATGCTAGTGTAATACAAATGGTATTCAACTGGAGGTGTCTTGAGTTAAGAAATTAACACAGATATTATCTGCTGCATACTGAGTGATGTGACCAAACATGCAACTAATAATGTCTACGGTGATTTCTTAACTTACAACAATTGCTTACAGAAGTTAGGCCATTAATGTAACTACGCAAAAGGATGTAGGCCAAAATATTTTAAGTAGTCTGCACAGTGCAGTTGAGAGAAATCTGGAAACACAAAGGGGATAAAGCTCATTTAAAAAACTCGTCAACTGAAAGGCTTATACAGTAACATCAAACAGCTGGAGGTTTCACATTCAACCGTGTAACAACTCGGCTCAGTTGGAGACAAGGTGAACGACTTTGGATGAAGTGTAAATGTGCTGGGCAAGAACTGAACATCCATGACACAACCAAATGCGCAATGCACCAACAGAAGTGTTTTGTGGTTTGCAATTCCAACTCAACACTATCATAATTACTATGAGTGCAACTCTGAGTTGCACCCATATCACTGTGCAACAGAATTTTGCCCAATGTTTTCTGGATCATTTTCCCCATGTAATAATTTCCAAGGTTGATACTAACACTATTGTATATAAGCCAATACAAATACATTCAAGTATTCTTTTTCAGAATCTAACTTTCAACTAAGTTTTCTTTTCCAAAAGTAGATTTACTCTATGTAATTTATGCAGCCACCTGAACAAGTCTTAGCTTGAACATTAATTCCTTCCCATTAACACAGAGGAAAAAAATCTAGAAGTTTATTGTAGGAATAAAGTGCTGACAGACTTTAGCAAATAAGAGCTTTAGTATTTAAATGGAAGCACCAGAATGCTATTACAGCAACATGAACATGTTCAAAACTAAAAACTGCTCATGTTAAAACACAATCATACCTTCATTGGCTCCTGGGTTAGATGAATGATGTAGCACATGGTTACACGATGGAGCCATGCATGTAGAAGACAAGACCATGTACAGTTAAGCAGCACAGTAATGCAATTTGGGGTCCGTGAAAACAAACAGATTGTACAGATGAAGGAAGCATAATTGAAATAAATATTCAGTAAAGCAGTTGGCTGGACAAAGTGCTATCTAGTGATCACAAATTACCTCAAGTCTTCATCAGTATGCCCTTCTTGCAATTATATTTTAACACTGTTTACACACCTCTACTTGCAAATTTTGGCATGATATACAGAAACATAAACAGATACTAACGGCTAAAATCCGGCTGGCACAACTACACAGAATTGAAAGCCTTCTATTCCTTCCCCCACCCTCACCCCAGGTTCTGAGGCTCTGTAAGGACCTCTTTTGACTTAGAGAAGGCTTTGAGAGCCTCAAGATGGAAGGGAAACCTTTAATATTGGAAAATCGCTAACACATCTCTCAGCAATTGGCTAATGAGTGATTTTTGGATGAACTGTTATGCATTACTGGTCTAACCAGGTTGCAAGCACTGCTTGTGTTTACCATCTCCCAGAGTGGTATTTGTTCCTTTTGCATACTTATTTTTTTAGCTTCAAATATTGAGGGGACGTGGTGGTGCTATGGGCTAAACCGCAGAAGCCTGTGCTGCAGGGTCAGAAGACCAGCAGTCATAAATTGGAATCCACCCAACGGAGTGAGCTCCCGTCGCTTTGTCCCAGCTCCTCGCCAATCTAGCGGTTCGAAAGCAGGCAAATGCAAGTAGATCAATAGGGACCACCTCGGTGGGAAGGTAACAGCATTCCGTGTCTAAGTCGCACTGGCCACGTGACCACGGAAGATTGTCTTCAGACAAAACGCTGGCTCTATGGCTTGGAAACGGGGATGAGCACCCCCCCCTAGAGTCGAACACGACTGGACAAAAATTGTCAAGGGGAACCTTTACCTTTTATTGTCTTTTAATGACGTAATCCACCATTGTATATTCATTGTTTTCAGCTTTAATATTGTCTTACAATGATGCAAATTGCCTTGGGTCCTTTTGAAGGAGAAAGGCAGAGTAAAAATATTTTAAATAAATAAATACGTTTGCTAGATACTTTTTGTACACACGGTGGGGGATGAATTGCTTGCACATAGGTACTGCACTGACTGAATTTCTCCTCAGTCACAGAACATTTGTCCTACATCCAAGTAGTCCCTAATTTATTTGCTTATTCTTCAATCTTCCTACTACTCTTCAAAGTCTATTAAGTGACTTCCACATGACTCAAGCTGACATGGTCCAGCTTGAGTCTTGTCATGGTGGAAGACATTCTTCAGCCTTCATCCAGGTGTGTTGTTTTTGTTCTTCATATTTTTGCCTAGCCTATTCTGATTTAATATTTAAAGCATGAGATATATGCAGAAAACTTTTTGTTGATTTTAGCCATTGCCTAGGGGTTTGGTGTCCACGAAATGGATGGGCCTGGTAGTGTATTACTTTATTTCATTCATTATTTGCTAGGAGTTTTTGAGGTGCAATGCCAGCCAAATAATAGAGATTTCCAATGGGGTTAGGTTTCAGGCAGCTAGTAATAATCTTGCATGGTTCACTAAGAGCTACACCCACTTGTTTGATATGTGTTGATTTATACCATACAGTATTAGCATTTTCTGTTATAAAGTAGCACAGAGACAAAGCTATTCGTATTATTTGTGGGTGTCAACTCTAGTCTGATCCAGCCAATTTCCTGGAGGTTAATATTAGAAGGTTTTCACAGAAAGCTCACTCAGCTCTTTTGAGAAGAATCTACCTGTAATTCCTATTTTTTGCTGTCTAGCAAACATTGTTATTGTTAAAAGCTGCTCCACTCGCACCATATAAAGACAAACAGGAAAAGGCTTTCACCCAGATTAACGTGACTGCATCAAACACTGCTTGTGTCTGATTCATGCACATTTATTATCCAACCAATTAAGATACTCTGTTCATAGCTACTTAGGTCCAATTGCACAAGTCTCCATCCAAATGCCTCTGTAGTACATCTTCACCATACATGCCCCTCCCCACTGACTGTTCACATTTGATAAAACTGGTTCCCCTACCTGGAACTCTGGCAGGAAATGTGTCTGGAGAACCTGCTCCAGCTCCACCTTCCTCCTCATCTTCTTCAAATTCTAAGTCTTCTTCTTCACCAGGTGCCAAGATCTTCCTTTAAAAACATACACACAAAACACAGGAATTGACTAATTAAGATAGACACCTTCATCACCTAACTACTCTTGGCCAAATTGATGAGATGCCTGCATGAATAATATAGTTACAGGCAATACTTGGAAATACCCCTAGCTGCCTATACTGAAACCACAAGATTAGAATTACTCAACAATAATTTTGTGTCCTACAGTTTCTGACAAAGATTCTTAAATCCTTCGGAATGCACACCTATGATTTAATTTTTTCCTTACCTTGGTGGAACAGGCTGAACATCAAAGGGGAATTCTTTATTATATGTAAGAATATTCGTTAAGACTATAAGGGAAGAGAAACGTAATAAAAAAAGATCAGTGTACAAATGAAAACAATTGGCACACTTCTGTGCCCTCATTAGAGACACCTGCAAGAGACAGTAACTCCTCACAACTCACTCCTGACAAAGGAACAGAAAAAAGGGTTGTTGTAATTCAGCATCAAATCTCAAATTACTCTGAACATTTTGGGAACCTTGTGTAATCAGCTTCTATAGAAGAGACTAGGAAAACCAAAACTGTTTTTTGAGCAAAAAGAGATTATTGCAAAGCTACAATATAGCCATATATTGGCTGAAATGTAGACAAACTGTCATCACCTGAAGTACTCCTATAAACTCATTACCTTTTTAAAAAAAAGGAAAAAATGATTTTGATTGTAGAATCCAAACCCTCCTCAGTAAAATTCTAAGAAATAAATCATTAAAAAGTTTCTAATACTAGAAAGATGCTCCAACGTTTTGAGAATTTGCCATTTGTCTTTTTAAAGAAAAAAAAGCAATAAATTCCTCACTTTTCACATCAAAGCATGTACGTTCCACAAAAGAAGCAAAACTTCCCCACATACCCAGAAGTTGCGGGGGGGGGGGACAGGGATAGGAATAGGGATAGGGATATGGAGACTGACATACATAAGCTCTGGGCTGGAAAAAACTGAAAGCAACTGAGCATTTAGGTATGAAAGAAACTAGACTTTTCTTTACATATCACCAAGATTGCAAAACACATGGTTCTTTTTGCAAGTTTGATGCAGGTGAAGTCTGTGACAAACACTATACAAACATTTGCATAATATGGAAACTGCCACAGAATTTACTGCTTTCATATGGACATTAATTACACAGCATTTTCCAGGCTGGCAATTCACTTGAGGCCCCCAACCCAAGCATCGGGCAAGAGTTAGTCAACTTGGTTGAAAAACTAGATCAACTAGATCAACAACAATGATTCTTAAAGTGGAAGCAACATGAGATGCATCCCTTTTACTTTTCTAGTTGAAACAGCTTGCTTTGTTCATCAACAAGCAAAACAGCAACTTTCAAATATGGAACAATTCAAAAAACTTGCCCCATTTATTTTTATTATTACTAGAGCTCAGACAATAACCTCTCAGAAACAGCAGAAAGAACTGTTCATGGGCTTTTGCTATTTGGTCACAATGACCCATAGTGTAACAGCATCTTTTATTACCTACAATCCATCATTACAAATGAAATTAAAGGGGGAGAGTAAGGCGTTTGTTACATGGAACTATTCTGCAAAATAAAATAGAAAAGGAATGCTGAATATTGAATAGTGCATATCTTGATTTCAGCAAGGTCCCTCACAATATTCTTGTGGCCAAGCTTGTGAAACATGGGTTAGATTCTGCTGCTGGCAGGTGGATTTACAACTGGTTGACAGGGTGTGCACCAATACTTTGCTGACTGGCTGCATATCTTGCCTTTGTTTATATTCCTGTCCCTTCTCCTCTGCTTATATTTCTTGGCACACTAATGGATCTCTTGACAAACTCAGTTTAGGAAATTGTAGTCCAGAAATTTGCTTCACTATCTGACAGAACAGTTTGTCTTGAAATAACTTTCTCTGTAGAACATAGTCCAGCTGTTAGATGATCCTTAGTGGAAGCTTGATAACGATTCAGAACAATGTTATATCAGGACCCATGGAAACATGTTAACAGTCTAACCTCCCAGAATGAAAACAAGACCTTGAGAATGCATTCTTGGTGTTGTGCGGATATGTCAGAATGCACAGTATGAGAAACTGGGAAACTTACTCCCAACAGCATCCCTTCTTCCCAATATTTACAGTTCTTTGGAATTATCTTGACAGCTTGGGCCCTGAAAGACCACCTCCTTCCATATGAAACTACCCGGCAACTCAGATCTAGCCAGAAAGCCCTCCTGAAAGAGCTGTCCTTCAGTGAGGTGAGAAGGATGGCCTGTAGGCAGAGGGTCTTTTTGGCAGCTGCCCCCAGTCTTTGGAATGCCCTCCCAAACAATATCTGACTGGTGCCGATGTTACTGACATTTCGGCGCCAGGTTAAAACTTTCCTGTTCTGGAAGTTTTTTAATTGAAGGTTTTAATTTTAAGTAATAAGTCATGGATCCAGATTGTTTTTGTTTTTGGAGGGTGGATGTTTTTTTTGTAGGGTGGATGTTGGTTTTTAGTGTCTGCTTTTAACTGAACTATTTTAATTGATGTTGGAAGCCGCCCGGAGACTCTTGCAGTGTGCGGGCGGCATACAAGTCAAACAAACAAACAAACAAATAAATAAATACCAGGACACTTACTAGGTTCTAGTTTCTTCAGATCCTCTAGCTTAAATTCTTCCTGGGACTGTGTAGACTAAAAAGAAAGCAGTATTACATGGTTGTTTCTACTGTGCAGTGCTAAAGACAATTACAATACTAACAGAATGGTTGGTTTTGCATTTTTCTACCTGCTGCTTCCTGAAAAAGCCTGCATTTTAAAGAGTAATTTACAGTTAATTCTCTGGGTTTTTAAGTTATGCTGTTTACCTAATGGGAAAAGATTACTAAATCTGTTGATGTTTAAAGTGATTGCCTCAGAAACTTGGAAAACCTGGTATCCACCATCTTGAAGATTCATTAATGCCACAGAACTAGAGAAAATAGCTCTCCGTAATGAGTCTAAGTAAACTGGTTGATTTTTTATTAATATTGACGGAAGTATTATTATCTGATGATGTTCCATATTGGACTCAGTATCTTTCTCCTAGCCATGTAACATCAAGGCAAATACATCCAGCTTTTCTCAAGATTTCTAGTAGGTAAGTGACTATATAGATAAATTCCACATGTTCCATGTTTATAACACATGTGTTGCATGCAGAAGAGTTCAGGTTCACAGCAGACAATGATAGACTAGACAGTCCTATGGCAATATAGAAGTTTCAGGTGCAGAATTCCAGCACAAGCCTGGAGAGTCCAATTGATTTCCTTATTGTGTTCATCACAGTATTGTTTCTTATGATTAAACAGTGCCCAGAGTTCCAAGTATGATCTAACATAGCAAGAGGAAGCCAACTCAGATTCTCTTGGGTATAAATAGTGCAATTATTAAACTACAGTACTCCAGCCAAAACTCTGCTCATGACCTGGGTTCAATCCCAGGTAGCGGGCTCAAGGTTGACTGAGCCTTCCATCCTTCCAAGGTTGATAAACTGAGTACCCAGTTTGTGGTGGTGGTGGGAGAATGGTGTGTGTGTGTAGCCTGCATAATTAAACTGTAAACCACCCAGATAATGATTTAACTGCTATGGGACAGTGTATAAGCAGCACATATTAGTAAGACTTCATCGAATTACATGAAAAACATGAGAGAGATATGGCATAATTCTTCCAAGGAGAATGGAACGCTGGTATAAACTACCATCTTTAATATCCAGAATTCAGGTCTCTTTTTTTTAAATTTTGTTAGTTATAGATTTTTCTTCATCCCCTTGTGTGAGTCACAGAAGATTGAACTTGAATGCTGTAAGCCAGTTCTTCATAAATAGCACTTTTAGTTTTAACAGATTTGGGAAAATCCCAACAAAGCAACTGGAAACTGCAAGATGAAAAATGAACAATGGTACCTGCAAAGCTGCACTCCTGAGTTCCAAACAAGTTGCAATTTTAGCTAAGGTTTTCTGTAAGAGAGAAAAAGGGGAAAGTTGACTAGATTGATGCTGCACTGTCAGAAAAATGCTTTTACACTTGAACAATCTTTTTCAAGATATGCATTGAGGCAAGCAGCAATCCAATTCTACATGTACCAGATTTAAAAGATAGTAATCTGCTTGATACTTCTATAGCTAGCAACAGATAAGATTACTAGCCTGAGTAACTTTCGTCATTTTATACATGCAGTCACATTCATATGCATCTGTACTTACATTTTGTCATGGAAATTCAGTTGTGCCATGCACATGGTTCAGGTAATACACTACAATAAACTAAAACACATAGCTATGCATCAGTATGAACTAAGGGTCTGCCATTTATATGGATCTTTTTGTGTTTCTTGCTTTTGCTGTTGTTTCTAAGAATTTCCCAGGCAGATTTCTGGCAGTTCCAGCTCACAGATGCAATACCTACATTTCACTCACCTGGAACAGGGCCTATCTTTCATGGTGTCTCGGGCCTACTTCCTATTCAAAACAAAACTGCACCAGTGCTTCCTCGGAGGTCAGTCTTGCTGCCCATTAGGTTCTATATAGGGCACTCCCAAACAACTATAATTCTCAGCAAAGAATTCTGCTTGGGGAATTCTTGGAGAATTCTGGGAATTGGAGTTAAAAAGACATGAATGGCACATCCCTAGCATGAACCTATTATGCACTAAATGGTAATACGAGAAGCTACTCTAGAAGAAAGAGATGTAAATGAGAAAGATAAAAATATGTTTGACCCTTCCCTTTACCTATATTCTTTTCCATTCACTATATGTGTATTTAGCCACATATAAGTGAGATATCAGCCTGTTTTCCTTTCCTAGCTAACAGCTATGCTTAGAGCTCCATTTCCTCTCCTACGTTAAGAGCATTACAGCTTCTGGAACTTTCTTGCTGCCCTTTGTTGTGCAGCAGAAAGCTTTGAGATGTATTAGAAGGCACTTGAGAGTTGAAGAATGACAATGCATTCAGATAAGATTTGCTTGGTAGAGATTTAAAGTTATGAGGAATGGAGTTTTTTTAAACATTAAAAAAAGGAATCTACTGAATTGTGGCAAGACACCAGCAAGCATTATTCATAGCTGTTTCTCAGGAACCACACCCAACTGTAATATTAAAAAAAGAAGAACCAAAACATTACAGCTAGACACAGCTAGTATTTTTCAAGTGTTATTATCTCCAACAGATTGCTTCATTTTCAGGAATGAAAACACTTAATACATCAGGAAAAGCATCACAGTTTTTAATGAATGCTGTTAGTTAAAATCTTTGTCTCCAATTGATGTTGAAACTGGATCTTTAGAAGAGCCTACTCAACACACTAACCATCAGTTATGTTGTGCAACTAATGACTGTGCTAACAGAAATGCACTGCAGACTCCATGGAAAAGACTATCTAGGCCAGCTGGAATTTTGCTGTGCTTTGTTATAAGCTTAAGTCTCATGAAAGTCTCCTGGTTTGCTAGTAATCTGCTACCAGTACATTGCCACATATAGCTTTCAACAAGACACATTATTTCATATGGTCAGGTGCAACATAAAATTAAGAAGCAAAATCCCTTTGACGATAACCAAAGATTTAAGTAGTCACAGTTGTGATATGGGAAAGTAGATGTGATTAGCCAGAAGAAATAAACTGGCAAAAGAAATTCAATTAGGAAAGCAGGGGTGCCCTTTTTAGCTCACCCAAATACAAGAACATGACCATTCTCTGGATCCCTCCATACTCAAACAAATAGAAGATGGGTTGAAAAATTCTCAGTTGAACTTCTAAACAAAGTTTATCCTTCCTGATCACCCCTTGCAGCTTATGCACTTCTTCCTAGAATTATACACAAACAGGCTTCTTTTCTGACCCTATCTCCTGCTCATGGCATTCCCTGCCTGTTTCCTGCCCAACGCCTCCTTGAGGATTAGTCTATAAAAGCTCTTTGCCTTTTATTTTTTTTCCTGAACATCAGAAGTGCATGCACAAATGAGGTAGAAGCATGGGAAAGCCCCTTTCTAGATATTCATGTGGCAGTTTGCTGTTCTAGACAGCAAGTAGATCTTCTTTACATTAAAAAAATCCAGAGCAAAACTAAAAGACAACACCTCTTGACAATGAAAGCAAGAGTGGTTGGATTCCACTACTTTTCAAAAACCAAAACAAGAAGCAGAATAGATTCATATAAGGATAAATACAAACCTTTAACATTTATAACAATGATGAAATGCCTTTAGAGTTACCATTTGTTTCTAAACACCATAAACTAATCTCCGTTGTTTAGAACAGATGGGCAACCAGTCTATACAGAATGGCTTTTTCACAGTGCACTTTGGCTTCACTACTGTGAATGGTATAAGGAATGTATTTCATATATTTCCATTTCTTCTTAGGACATGCTTTGTCAGTACATAGAAGTTAATCTTGTTCTTTATCATACATACTCTTTGTCTGCATAAGGGATCCACTTTACAAAGGCAGAGATCCAACAGATGTTCAGAGTGGACAGAAGGCACTTTCCATTCATACACCAGGTATGTGTATCTCTGACCTCCCAGTTCCCCCCACCAGCAGCATCTCTACCCCATGCTGTTCTCACAGATATCAAATCCTCAGAAGCATCTGGGGAACAGGGGTTAAAATCCAAGCCACAATTGTGAAAGGTCAACCAAAACTGTCTTAATGTACATTTTTCTCTCTGAATTAAGTCTGGAAGCAATTTGACTGCTATCTTATCCACCCTACTTACAAAGTGATTGAAACTCCAGATTTCAGTGGATAATGATTTCTGCATATCTACTTAGTGCTCGCATCAGGCTCCCAGCTTCATTGGGCTATATACTATCCAACTACCTATGCATGTATCATCTTAAGCATTCTGATCTATCTCCCTTTGGTCTTTGCTGTGGTCAAGGAGAAACCAGATGGAGCATCACTGTGTTGAAGGAGGTGATCTTCCCTTTGGTGCAGAATATGTGAAGATTTCTTATGCATCAAACTGAACTTATATATTTGGTCCATGTCATCCAATATGAAAATGGAAGTCAACAGAATGCTAACTGAATTGGTACACTGTGGCAGTGCTATTCTATACATAGCAGTTTAGAGGTAAGAGACACTAAGATCAGTGGAAATTACTTCCAACAGAGTGGATAAAAATACAATTATTTCTTTTTTTAAAAAAATATTTAAAGCACAGTTTAAATTTTAAAAATCATGTTTATTTAAATTGTTAAAATATTTTAAAATTTAAATAGTGCTTTGAATTTATCCTGCTTCAAATGCCAATATAGGGTGGCAACCAATGTGGCCTCTCTCCAGTTACTGTTACTAGTATTCACTTCTGTAAACTACCTACTGTATTTCTGGAGGTACTCCACAAGTCACCAATCTTTAGTATCTCCATCAACAGTGCGAATATAACACTGATGTCTCATAAACCTGAGAACACACACACGGCTTCTTGTAAGATCTGAGAGGAAGCTGGAGAAGTTTTTTAGAATCAATACAGGACTTATAGCTAGAGATGTAGTATATCTGAAAAATTCAGAAAGAAACAGTTTTTTTTATGGAAAAAATTGAATTTTTTGGAAAGTTTATATTTTTAGAGACAACTTAATACATAAAATACTAAATACATAAAGTCTCAGAAGTCTTTCATTAAGGTATCCATGTCATATAATTTGAATACAATGTCATAGACATATTATTTATAATTGTAAAAAGAATATACTTCACACTCCATATTTTTTTCATTTTTTTCAGAAAAAAACACACCAAAAATGGCTTTGGAAAAAATGGGAAGAAAACTAGGGTTTTTTTCCATATTTTTCCGGTTTTGCCCAAGCCTTCCCATGTTTTACTTATAGCTGCTTCTCTGACTAGTATTCTGTGGCTGCATTGGACCAGTTCTCACTAACTTCCACCCTGGTCCTGTATCTTGTACAAAAGGTACATAGTAGAGATTGCCAAATGAGAACTTTAAATATTAACAGCAGCACAAAGCAGGAGAACCAAAGTTCAACAAGTTATCCCCACCATGAGAAATCATTTTATTGAACAGAAGAAATTTCATACAGAGTTTCCATTTTTGAAATACTTTTCCTAATATGATCAGAATTCATTAACATATTTAGTAACCTTGCTTGACAACACAGTATTATGCAGCAAGAAAAGAGAGTTTAAATTATTTTGCATTAGCTCTTAAAGATAAATTTAACTGATTTATTGACAGACATCTATGAAGGAGCTATCAAAAATTAACTCTCTGAATGAACTGTATTTTTTCAAACGGCAGCCTGGTCAACCAGCAATATTCTTCCTTCCCACCATAGACTGTACTCCCAATGAGTCAAGAGGAGTCAAATATTGCTTCTAAAGAGTATTCCATTATGTACCTTTTGATCTTCTGTGAATTCTGAGTTGTTGGGCTGAGACTGTGCCTCCTTCTGTAAATGCCTTGCTAATCTGGATGGAGAGAAAGAAATAGATAACTTGATGGCTCTAAGATTATTACAGATGATAAAGTGCTCAATAAAATGACAGTTTTTAGACAGATTCAGGGTAACCCTGCCTCCTCAAAAGTGGAATTTTACGCATGTGTTAGTAAATTATAAAAGAAGTGGAAAGAAAACATGATATATATCTTCTATAAAGGTTTCCACCTAAAATAATCTGAGAGTTACATCAATCAGCAGTCTGGCATTCATAATGCAAACATAAAAATTGGCTTATATTTGTTTGTTTTTTTCAGCCCTATCATTACATACTGCATTACGTACTAACATAATAACAATCTTGCATGCACAAACCCCGGGTTTCAGTGGGAGGAGGCTTCACAACCTAAGGTTATTGTCCTTTGACACTAACCTATTAGTAAAGTTCTTTTCCCCACCTCTAGCAAGCCCACATCGCCTCTTGTTTTTCTCATTTACTTTTATTGTTTTGCTATGGATAGTCCTCATTTTTAATTCTGCCCCTTGACCATGTAGCAGGAATGGATAGATCTCTTTTCCGCGTGGCAAAGACTCCATATATTTTCCTTTTTATTCCTCTGAATATAATTCCAGATCATAACTGGAAGTAAAGATACATTTTTCCCTGCCTAAAATGCTTCTAGATTGATTTCTTGTTATATAAAGTGCTAGTCCCACTGAAACCCGGGGGTTGTGGTGTAGTGCTAAAACGTGGGCTATTACCGGTATATCATATTCCCTGCTTCTTCTTCTTTTAACCTCATATTCTGCTGACTATACAGTGGTGCCTCGACTTATTTATTTATTTTATTTATTGTATTTATACCCCGCCTATCTAGTCATTTCGATCACTCTAGGCTGCTAACAACATAAAGGATAACAAGACTTATGAACTTAATTGGTTCTGGAACTCTGGTTGTAACTCAAAATGGCTGTAAGTCAAAGCACCATTTCCCATAGGAATGCACTGAAATGCAATTAATCTGCTCTGGCCGAAGGGGAAAAAAATCACACACACAAAAAAACCACCACTGC